AGGCATCATTACCAATGGCAGTAGAGTAGAGGTGGAAGTGGACATTCACTGCAGCAGACAGCAGACACCTGAGGTTCCTTGCACCAGCACTGTTCATGGTCCAGAAGATGACAGTGGAGGGATCTTTGTTCAGATTCTCCAACAAAACAGCCTAAACCATAAAAGTTCATCTCTTTTAAGCCAAGAAAAGGACGACATGCCTCCAACCATGTCTGGATCATGCATGTATAGGAAGAAGCACTCCAATGGCTCTGTTGTGCCTCTAGAAGAAATTCTTAACCTAATTGAAGTTGCCTCTGAGGCCCCTAAAAGAAAGACTGGTTACTTTTCTGCACCTTCGCAGATGGATCCCGATGACCAGTTTGTGGTTCCCCCTCAATTGCAGCATGAAGTACGGGAGCAGTTGGGTGAAGTAGAACTTGCAGCCCAGGACAAAATCAGTGGACACGAAGAGTTTGACACAGCGTTGTAACTTTCTGGGCAGGACATTGATTGGATATGGGATGTTTAAAGAGATTTAGACTCCTAGCAGCTACACTAACCAATACTCCGAATTGCACATTTTTAAATGCTGACCATGTTAGCTGTAGTTTGCTAAGGTCCTTTCCATTGACCTTGCCCCACATAAAGTATATATATATTTTTTGCATTCTAATGCACAATGACATTCCCTTCTCCCTACACCTGCTCTGAATGGCAGGTTGAACAGCAAACCACTGCTTACCTCTCAATCCTCCCCCTTTTCGAAGCCAAATACCATTTCATTTTTATTTCTTCAAGGTTTAAAATCTGAGCCACTGGAAAAATGTGAAATATATATATAGATATAATTTGTGTATGTTTGCAAGTCTTGTTTCTACCCTATAATCATGAAGGTGCACCCACCATAACTACAGCTTGTTCCACTTGTTGCCGGGAGTGACTCCAGATGCGTGGTATGGTGTGATTTGCCCAATGCACCTTTTTTATGTTGAATGTGACAATCCCAGTCATGTTTGTTGAGTTAATTGTTTGTTTTTTTCTCTAAGAGAACAAAGCCAATTGTGATCAATATTTTATTAATAAGGCAGCTCACCGCACTTTCAATTTAGTTTTACATTCTCATCATGTTTTAACAAAACAAATACTGCTTTCCAGCAGGCTTCCGTTCCCAGCGCAAGTTCGTTTATTTTTCTTTCACATATTTATTAATCAATCTCTGGCTGCTTTAATTCTGGGTACCAGAGAGGGATCATGGGAAACCTCAAGAGAAGTTTTGCACTTTAGGTGGACAAATCCCACACTGAATACAGTCAGGGAGTTGACTCCTTTATAACTTGGACTCTGGTAGTTCAAGGAAGGGATTTGGACCCTTTTCCAAGCAATGTGATCTAAACAGCCCCTTTATTCTTATACAGGACTAGGTAGAGGAAGAGACGTGAAAATCCCTTTTTTTTGCCCTCACAGTTTAATACAGTCCCCTTTGCTAGGTTATGGTTTCAAACCATTTTATTTGGGTTTAATTTGATTGATACGTTGTAAAACATGTTAATTAAATATTAGAAAAATTTTGAAAAATCAAAGTTCTGTTAATAAAAATATTGTGGGCTTTTCTGTTTGATGTTTTGAGTGTGTGTATATTTACTAATGTTTCGGAGTCAGCGCAGAGTGCTGGTAAACTGCAATGCCAGCTGTAATTATGGTGCACTGGAGAGAGGAGAGGATCATGGGAGAGGTCATTTCTGATCAGTTTGGAAGTTCCTTAAAGGGAACTTTTGGCATCAGAATAAAATTGCTATGGTGTCCTTTAGAGATTAAACCAATCCCGAACAGTCTAACCTCAAAGTCTTTTCTCCAGCGTGTAGGTCTGCTATGCCTTTCCACTTCTCTGAGCTTCTTCAAACAGGAAGCCACGGACAGGGGCACTGCTGATTATCTTAGTGTCAGTTGATGCTCTCAGTCAATGAGTGGCGCCCGTGATGGTGGCATCTAGAGGCTTCTTGCTTTAGAAGAATGGGGCAGAGGTAAACCGTGCTGGAGGGAAGACTTTGGCAAGCCAGGGACTGCCTGGCACCACAACAACGTAATTACAATTAAGTTATGGTGTCAGGAGTGTACTTTTTACCCTGTCTGCTACCATCCTGTATAATGCACAAGATATGCTTATAAAGATGCATTATGCCCATACTGTATGTTTGTTTGCTGCCAATAGAAAAAAAAAGTAAAATAAATGGGCATTCCTTTTTAGGCCAGATATAGCTAAATTTAAAACATAGGCACCTTAGAGATTTTGTTTCCAATTCAGTGACTTTACTTTATCTAAGGTTTATCACATTTTAGTGACACGTTTTGTGTTTTCCAAAGGCATACTACTCTTATTGATTAGGCAATATCAGTGTCTAGCTACTAATAACTATAAATGTAAAACCTACTATAAATTTATTTTCATTACAAAACATCCCGCAGCTAGTATGTGGCCTTCCTCTAATGAATCCAATAGATGGAGACCAGAATAGCTGAATTGAAAAATTCTCCAAGTCTGCTTTGATTCAGGTTTCAGAATTGCTGGCTAAAGTGAATTTAACATTTTAGACCAAACTAATTATTAACCATGTAGAGATATACAACTTGCTACGTCTGTTCTTCTAAAGCTGCCTTCAGTACTTACCTACAGAGGCCGTAAGCTTGCTTTAATTCAGGTGTATTAAAGAGATACTGCAGTGAGACCAAGAACTCTTGCAATTGGTGTTTTTACTCTGCTGTTAAAATTCCTCTGTGATTCACTGAACTCACTAACAATCGAATTCTGTTGAAGCCGAATGGATCCCTGACATATTGAAATAAATCTCACAGCCACACTGAGACACATTTTAAAACCGCTAAAACTAATTATCCTGTTACAAAAAAGTGACTCCTGTAAAAGTAGATTGGGGTTGTGTTGGGTAAGGGTATGCTTCTAGAGTTAAGGGGGGTTTGGGGTAGTATTAGGATGCCTGGGGTTACAGAAGTTTAAAGGTTTAGATGTAATATCCCTAGTTTATATTAGAATTGGAACGACTGAATGTTATATGGAGAAATGCAGCTGAATAAAATTGTAAATTCTGTAAAAAAAAAAAATAACTCCAATAACCGATTTAGCATTTTGTAAATATATTATATTCATTATATTCCTAATGCTATAATGTCTTGCTTACACTATATGTTCCTCTCCCAGGCAATGTGAAGAATTTAAAGGGACACTATAGGCACCCAGAACTCTTCAGTGCCCCAGGTCCCTTAACCCCGCAATGGTAATTATTGCAGTTTTTTAAGAAACTGCAATAATAACCTGCTAGGGTTAATTCCACCAGCCACTAAAGGAACTTCTGGTTTATGCATGGGGACCTCCAGCGTCACCCAACACCCCATGGGGAAGCATTAGGTTTCCCCCGCCGGCTGATGTCAGCGGGGGAGGAGTGAATGCAGACCTGAGCCAGTGCTGCAGGAACAGGGTAAGTGACAGAAGGTTTTTTGTTTTTTTTTTTAACCCCTTCTGCACCACAGGGTGGGGGAAGCTCCGCCCATTATCTAGAAGTGTTAGGCATTGGAAAAATAGTCCCTACTTTTTCCTCAGTATAGCTCTTGACTGGGTTGGAATTTCACTGACATTCTAACACAGTCAAAACAAGTATTTCATAAAGATTCTATTTTTATGAAATGCTCATGTATCGGGGGCAAATGACAGTTGTAATCACACAGAGGAGGATTCTTCAAGTTCTAGAAGGCTACTAACAGAGTAGGAGATATGAAACTCTAAATAAAATAGATCGTGCAGTAAAGGAAGTTTAAACATTAGCTCTCACTTCACAGGGAGGTGTGATTAGGGGGGCATAGACAAAGTGTTTTAACTCCTAAATGGCAGAGAATTGGGCAGTGAAACTGCAAAGGCATGATTTATACACCAAAACTGCTTAGCACAAAGTTGTTTTGGTTACTATAGTGTCCCTTTAAGGCCACAGTAGCCAAACTAAAAGCATAGCTGGCTTCGAGACTTTTTATGGTTTGGTTCTATGGACTAACATTTAAAATACACTTTGAATTCCCAACTATTCGAGATCTTGGGCCAATACTACTGATTGAAGTTTTTTCTGCGCACTATGCATTGCTTAACCCCTTAAGGACCAAACTTCTGGAATAAAAGGGAATCATGACATGTCACACGTGTCCTTAAAGGGTTAATGGTTCCAAATCTGCTTCTCAAGACACAACCACGCTGCAGGATATAGGTTTTCCCCAGCTCTGTTTTAGGGTGCTATCTGGTCCGTTGGTGTACCTCGAGAACTGGACATAAGGCAACGAGCAAGGAATAGCAAGAACGTACACACTAGATCTACATGGCTGAGATTCATGGGACATCTACCTCCCAAACTTCTGGGGTACGAAGGTGACCCATCACTACTCTGGCGACACAAAAATTCTAAAGCTGTTAATTTTATTTTATCAAAAAAAGTTTTAACAATATATAAATGTGTACAGATTTGGTTTATGCATTGCCATGGTTACAGATAATTGGAGCTCTATAAGCAGTGTAAACTGCTTTAGTCTATAGATTTGAAAAATTAGAACAATAATTAGTCTAAAATATAAAATGTTATATTCTATATCAACCAAGTCTCTCTGCTAGTTAGATTATAGCTTTGTACCCCCAGGGCTATAGCCGAAGTGAGCAGGGGGGAACCGTAAGTTATGGGACATGAGAGTACATATTGCTTTGGTGAATGAGTGACAAGGTAGGGTAGCAGGAGGGGGGCGTGGGGGAGAAGAACCTTGTTGCAATTTTAAGTCAGTTAAACAAAAGATAGTAAATGTATATAAATTCTCGGATCTGTATAAATTCTCTGTATTGGGGGCTGTGGATGAATGTATAAAAATCTTAATAAATTATCTGTGTTGGGGAGGACCTCTATTGTTAGCTGAACAGTTCTCTATAAAGGCTCGGTATTGGGGGCTATGGATGTACAGATTGGTATACATTCTCGGCGTTAGTGGTTGCTATCATGGTTTGTGTAAAATTTCTTTTCCCTGTACGCACGGAATGTTAAAATGACACTTGCTCCATATAACAATACCAGCAAAATGCCAAAAGCTGCAGCTCCTCCATCTGTCCCAGCAAGGTCACAGTTCATCCAGTTTAGGCCATTCCTGGCATACAACCTCTCTCGCCTCGTGCACACATCGGTGGCATTGATCTGAAGGGCAAAGTGAAGAAATACCCCAATTGCAGCTCCGTAACCCAACGAGGCCAGCAAACAGAAGGAAGCCTCAGCCAGGAGCCATGTCCAGGACAGACTCAGCAGGTGCTTCGATCCTGCGGCCAGGACCCCCAGCGTAAGAGCCCCCATCACCACACATAGAGTCAACCCCCCGTATAAAAGGGGAGCTCGTAGTAATGTGAACTGTTGGTCCAACTCTCGGACTTGCTGGAGCTCTTGCCCTTCAAACGGATAGTAACCACTTCCGAACCCACCACTGGTCAGTCCAGAACTGAACCCAGAAAGGACAAAATAGGAGGAGACAATGCAAATGAGAACCAGAGCGTTGAGGATCACCTCCAGCATCAGCAGTATACCTGGGCAAGATGGAGAGAGAGAGAGAGAGAAATCTGAGCACCCACCATCCATACCCAACAGACAGACAAACATTAATTTAAAGATAACTGCCCAGAGTCCCTCAACCCTCTGGACTGTGGCACTGAAAGGATGGAACTGATATATCAGGACACAAAGCCTTAAGATGTCAGAAACAAAAGTTGCATTCTAATTGCTTGCTCTTTGTTTCCAGCCAATCAGAGTACAGCTAGAATTCACAATGGCGACCCATGCAAAGAGAAAGGAAGAAAAATGGCAGCCCCCAGTCTACTACAAAATGGAAACTTCAATGGGCAATATTAACATTGATCTGTTCTTAAAAATATATATTCTTTAGAGTTAAGCATGCTTCCTCAATATGTTTATTTGTATAGACCAGTCGTCCATTCTGCAGAAAGCTAAAAGGATTGGCCATGAACATACAGAAGCCGTTAACGTGATTGTTTCCTGAAACGATCTTATTCTATAGCTCAATTCTAATATGTTATGTCATGCAGGATCAGGGGGGCTTGGTCTATGGAGGTAATATTTCATACTTTGCATTTTATTTATTACCAAAAACAACATTTGCAAAATTCAGTAACAAAATAGTTTATTAACATATTTTACAAATCCGTACTGTTAAAATGTATCCATAACTTGTGATCAGTATATTTATACACAGTTTGCAACATATGTAAAAATAAAAAAATATCTTTTTTTTTAAAAAAAAACTAAAATAAAACTTTCATCCACCCACCCCTTTCCAATTTTCTTCACATATGTAAAACAGGGTTTAATAGGAGACATTAAATACATTTTATTCTAAGTCCCCCAGTCTATGTGCCATGTGTAGGATCTGAGAAGTACTATAAGCTAAGCCGGGCTAAAAGTCGAGTGAAGTTTGCGGTTTCTTTTTTATGCGCCGGACTCTTATGAATCCTTTGACAGCCAGAACGGCACTGAGGATGAAGGCTATTATGGCCATGCATGCAAACAGCGCCGCTGCAATATCAGCGCCATGAAGGGAGCAGGTGAAGCCCTGATAACCTTTGCTGCTATAAAGGCTCTCCCGGTCTTTGCAAACTTGGGAATCGTACGCTTGTTGTAGCTTAGTGATGTAAAAATACAGCGCTGGGATATAGCCCACAGCGATCGCAATGTCCAACACGCATTCCACAAGTAGCAGGACAGGAAGTCGCCACGGAACACGGAGAACCCCAAGCAGAAGGAGCAAGCAGCTGAATGCCATGAGAGCTCCCCCAAACGCCATGGAGGCTGTAACGGTGGGAAGCTTTAACTGGTAGAACTGGACGTCCAACTGTTGGGCCTTCTCTCCATCTGCACCACTAAAGCCACTGTAAGCCCCGCCAAATTGGTAATAGTAAATCCCGCCCAGGTTAGTGATCCCAGTGAAACCCCCGGTAGAATTGTAGGACACGGAGCAGCAGATCAGGATCAACATGTTCAGCAGAGCTTCCACCATCTGACAGAAAGCTGCAAAGATTAAAAGGAGGAGGGAGCCATTAGATGCAAAACAGAGCGGCAGTGGCTGGGTCCCTGTGATGGGAGTTACACTGACACATACACTACAGTATCGTACAAAACAGGCGGTGGTCTCTTTACATCTCTGTCCATGTGCCACAATCACTACACACGTCAAGATGTACATTGCTGTATGACCCTGATCACTGCTTCGAAATTTCTCCATTTTGGCTAATTAGCCCTGAAACTTGCAATACTTGGAGAAATCACTATTCAAGATTCAGCAAATAATGCTATGTATATATTTGCGTGCACCAGTCCTTTTTTGTGTTTTGTTTTACAACTGCGGTAGCACCAAATCAGAACACTCCTGGCTGGGATTCTTAGTAACTCTCCTGCTGACAAGAACATATAAAGAGAGTGCAGTCTCAGGACATACAGCCCACATTATATGGGACATCCAAGAGGTTAGTGGATGAAAGAAGGACAATAACCAAATCATGGAATTGGGTTAAACAGGGATTGCTCAATACCGCACTCCAACTCAATGAGTAGTGAATAAATCCCTATGGATACCACATGGCTACACTTACAATTACTATAAAATTCTCTAAAACACAACAGTCTATGGATCTACATGGTTTGCAATCTAGGAATACTTCACTTTTCTCCTCCGAATAAGAACATCTAAAAATGTGCAAACTAAGCTTAAAGGGACACTATAGTCACCAAAACAACTTTAGCTTATTGTAGCAGTTTTGGTGTATAGATCATGCCCCTGCAGTCTCACTACTCAATTCTCTGCCATTTAGGAGTTAAATCACTTTTGTTTCTGTTTATGCAGCCCTAGTCACAACTCATCTGGCTGTGACTGACACAGCCTGCATGAAAAATTAAAAAAAAAAGTTTTTATTTCCAATCAGATGTTAACTTACTTTACAAGTGTTTACCCCTTTCTGTTAATTGAACTTGTAATCACACACAGGAGACTTCTGCAATGTCTAGCAAGCTATTAACAGAGCAGGAGATAAGATATAGTTATGTTACTATAGTGTCCCTTTAATAATAACATAATTACGGTTATAGAAAGTGAACCTTTCACCCCATTTTATTTATATGAGGGAACATGACGTGTATTTGGCCATAAAAATCAACGTGAGTCACAGAGTCAAATAGGGAATGGTGAGTATGAGTAAACGCAGAATAAATAGGAGCATTTTAGAAAGTGGACCCAGAGGAAGGGAGCCAGGTATAATTTTAGTGTTTGGTATAAGATCACAGTCATTATAGCAAAGATGTGATATTAAAAAAATCCAATATTCATTGTGTTGTTCCATTTGTAATATACAGGAAAATCTCAGAGTGTACAGATCACTTTAGTAAGAGGTGCTGCAGCAGCTGAGACTGCTTAGTATTAGTAACATAGGTTATTGGGACAGAGGGATCCTAGTCTCGAGTCACTGTTGGTGGCAAACGCTCCACTCACACAAAACAGAACACAAAAATAGAAATTAAGGCAACAGATCCTAGAATGCCAGTAACATCTTAATAGAAACTGATTATTTATTAAATAAACCTAGATAATTCCAATATTTACATATAAATTGTAAGACTTGCCTTTTACTATGCATGCTCTGTAACGTTTGCATAAATGTCTGGACTTTAAATATAGTTATTCAGATAAGCTGAAATTAAACAGACATCAGAAATACGATTTATTTACAGCTTTTTCCGCAAGTTTTTAATTTGCGTTTTTATAAAATGTTAAGCTCATCCAAATTCCTGCAGATCACCTGGGTATTCAGCATCTATGACAGACTAATAGAGCACAAATGTTTACAGGGTCACCGTGAAATGCTGCTAGCCAATCTAAGGGACATTGTTATGCATTGCCATGATGGTAAATGGGAAGAGGGAAAGTTTATTTCAGACTGACTTAAGAAAATAACATTTCAGATTACTAAAACATCTTGGTTTAAATCTATTTGTAATAAAATGAAAAGTATGTCAAAGGCTCTCAATGGACACAATGGACGCTGATCCGAGGGACATGCAGGTAGATCGGCAAGTTTCAACCAGGGAGAAAGTCTAAAAATGAGATACTTAGCTGTACATACAATCGGCTTCCTCTACTAATGGAGGAGGTTCCTGTTTATAACATGGTCTGTGAACATGCATTGCTGCACCTAACTTGGTGCTCTCAAAGAATAGTTAGCATTTTCTGTTTTGGAATGGTACCAGATATCGGCTTGTATAAATCTGAAAATGAAGATTTTTTATTTTTCCATATTCTACTGAATAAAGTAAATATGGGTGACAGGCACACTAAATGAATTGCAATCCATATACACACACACACACACACAAACGGAAACCTGCGCTTAAACTCCCACTACTCCTGGCCATCAGCAATGACTACAGTATTCATCAGCCCAAATGCATAGAACATAAACCAAAAAGGAGTTACCTGTGCTCTATGCGAAATCCCTAATTAAAAGTAAGGGGTGAGCTAATGGAGTATAAACTGGGAAGAAACAGAGGGGGTAACCCCAAGCACGACGACTGGAGTTTTTTTTTTTTTTTAGAATCACTCCAATGGCTCTTTAAGTGAAACTAAAATTTAAAAAAAAAACCTCCATTTACTGAAATGTGTATAGGAATTGGGATAGAGCGCAGCTAACAGTTTTTTTTATTTCTGTTCTGTGTACTATAGTCATTACTGCTGCCCAGGAGTAGTGGGAGTTTGAGTGCAGAGCTCATTTTGTATCAGACAGCCATGTTACAGTGCTGCCGCCCATCACATGTGTTCCCCTTTTATGGGTTAATATGTGTGTAGGGGGTTCATAAAAACTATCCCTTTCTGACTTATTGGAGATTTCTATCTTTTAGCTGAAATCAGCAAGGTGAATCGTTAGTGTAGGGCTCACCTAAGAGGATTTGCCTTGTTGTGACAGTTGAGCTTACCATTGGAATTGCAATCCATGTCAGGTAACTAGGTGAACAGACAATCAGAAATTACAAGGGGTGATTACTGAACAAAGATGATTTGTTCAGAGTTCAATTAGACAAACACATGACTTGATCACGAAAGTGTTTGATAAACTCCGCTAACGCAGTAACACTCCTCTGCAATGTACAGCCACTTTTGGACGATACAACCAAAGTGAAACTCATTTTTTCTAAAACACACCTAGAAGAACCAGAAATTCCACTCGATGGCAAGGCAGACGGCTGCTAGTTTCGGCTTTGGGTCTAAACAAAGGAGTTATTTATTACAATCTAAACAGTCATTAAAAGAGGCTGCAAGGCCACTTGTTACGGACACAAGAAGTTTCCGCATTGCCCAACTTTTGTAAACCACAGAACAGTGGGATATATTGGTGCAATATACACTAAAACTCAAAACTGGCTAAATTTGTTTCTTAAAGGGTCCTTACCACGTCCTGTACATAGGTATCTGCATTTGTGACAATTGAGGATTCCACCATCTGATTCTGTGTCGTAATATTCTACATCGTTTATCTGGGAGCCATTTGGAGCAAACGACCTGTGCAACACAAACAAACGACATGCATTGAACTAGCTGCTAACATATTATGTCATACCTATAGTGAGTTAGACTGTGAGACCTGCTCACCAGAATTCTGGATACCAATTCTAAGGGATACTCTCAGAGCAGGAGAAATTCTAAATTAAACAGAATTTGTAATAATGGAAGTGTAAACATTAGAGGACTCTTTAAAGAAGTGTTAAGGAAGGTTGAGTAAGTCACATGCAAGGAGGTGTGGCTAGGGCTGCATAAACAAAGTGATTTAACTCATAAATGGCAGAGAATTAAACAGTGAGACTGCAGGGGCATGATGTATAGCTTATTTACGTTAAAATTATTTTGGTGACTATAGTGTCCCTTTAAGAAATATGCCTGTGAAATGCAGCAAGTGATGCTTAATTCACACGCAAAAAAATGCACTTCTTCTTGATGATGTTGGCTGGAGTTGGCCCCCATCATAATGACTTTAAGACAGGGAATGTTTACCTCCCATTTCCTCTTCTCTACAGACATCCTTTGAAAAACTGCAGGTCTCTGGAAATTGCAGTAAATGAGGCACATTGCATGATGTCCTATCAGTTTCATTATAACACCTTGCGTGCATGAAGTCTTCTTCAGTGGATTTTGGCATCAGGCCAAGTAAGATGGCACTTGTCATTTTGTATCAATAATGTTACCGGATACCAAGCAAGTTTATTTAAACTGGAAAATGAAAATGCACTGGCTTCTTACCTCTCAGCTTTGAAATAAGGCTCTTTGTCACTCACGTCCATTGGATGTCTCTGTGTTTGGTCTATACTATACAGATAATCTCTGTGATGCCAGTCTCTCTCGCGGTAGTTCTCCTGGTTGTTGTCTCCTTGGTTCCTATAAGACTCCCTATCTTTCTGCGGCCGCTCCCTTTCCTTGTATCGGTTATTACTCCTCTCATCCTGCTTCCAGGACGATTCACTGTCCATGTGAGAGTTGTGTCTTACGTCGTATCTGTTTGGAGTCTTCTCTTGCTGAGATTTACCATGCTCCCTCTCTTTGTGATAGTGCTCACTTTTCTCATATTGGTTTGGACGTCTCTCGCTTTTGTCTCTATTTGTAGCCCGCTCCTCATAATATCGTTCTCTATCGTGATGCCAACTCCCTATCTCATCATGATGACCTCTTTCTGACCTCTCTTCATGGTACTTATCTCTCTCCCGTTGCCGGTGCTGACCACGCTCCTGAGAGCTCTTTCTATCTGGCCTTTCATTGTAGCCTTTGGAATGACGATAGTCTTTCTCTTGACCATTTCCATTCTGACTTTTTGGATTGTCCCGTGCCCCTCTCTGATCACCTTTCTGCTGAGATCTATGCTGCCTTGATACTCGTTCCCCATCAGGCTGATGGGGAACTGACTCTCCCATCACTAGATCTACAAAGCGACAGGAGAAGTGTTAGACCAATCAAAACAATCACAATCATTTACTTTTAATCCACAATATATTACTCGAATAGAATATACTTCTATATGGTGGCTCAATATTTCATATTACTTCTCTTAGTAAATAATCTTTAAAAAAAAAAAAACTTAAAATGTGCTTCTCTAAAACTTATTTGCCAACTTATTAACAACTGTTTGGTTTACTACATATGATTTTTCATGGTGTCCAATGTATGCGCTACCCCTCAAAACACGCTCTACAGTTATTCCGGCGCCAGTAAAAACGAGTGACTTCAATTCACAAATTAAAGTTTTGCGAATGTCCAAGCAACGTCGCAATTATTTCTATTAAAAACGTGCAGAAACGTATGGGATAGAAACACAACTCCAAGCACGCATTGAATGAACAATAATATTTTTATTAATAAAGTTTTTTCCCTCATGTCACAGTATAATTTTATTAAGCCACTCTGGGTGCCTAGAGTGGTCCTTTAACTACCGCATCATTAACTGCTCTTAAATCTTGTACAGGACGATACTCATCTGATCCTGGCTTCTGAACAGGTAACAATGGAGTATTCCAGGGGGAAGTACAGAATTTTAGGATACCACACACGTCAGGAGAGTGCCATTCAGTATTTCGTTCGCATGGAACTCCTGAAATTTGTAGGCGTGTTTATGGGTGTGCTGTGGGAGTGTCATTGGTGTGTTTACGGTATAATATTATTAAAGTTATTTCTATCCTGTCACAGTATATTATTATTAAGTTATTTCTATCCTGTCACAGTATAATATTAATAATAAAGTTATTTCCCTCCTGTCACAGTATATTATTAATAAAATTATTTCCCTCCTGTAACAGTATAATATTAATAAAGTTATCTGTCTCCTGTAACAGTATAATATTAAAGTTATTTCCCTCCTGTAACAGTATATTATTAATAAAGTTATTTTCCTCCTGTAACAGTATAATATTAATAATAAAGCTATTTCCCTCCTGTCACAGTATAATATTATTTTAAAAATTCTCTCTCCTGTAACAGTATATTATAATTAATAAAGTTATTTCCCTCCTGCCACAGTATAATATTAATAATACAAAGTTATTTCCTTCCTGTAACAGTGTAATATTATAATTAATAAAGTTATTTCCCTCCTGTCACAGTATATTATTATTATTAATAAAATTATTTCCCTACTGTAACAGTGTAATATTAATAATAAAGTTCTCTCTCCTGTAACAGTATATTGTTAAAGTTATTTCCCTCCTGTAACAGTATATTATTATTAATAAAGCTATTTCCCTCATGTCACAGTATAATATTATTCTTAATAAAATTATTTCCCTCCTGTAACAGTATATTATTAATAAAGTTATTTCCCTCCTTTAACAGTATAATATTAATAATAAAGCTATTTCCCTCATGTCACAGTATAATATTCTTAATAAAATTATTTCCCTCCTGTAACAGTATATTATTAATAAAGTTATTTCCCTCCTGTAACAGTATAATATTAATAATAAAGCTATTTCCCTCCAGTCACAGTATATTATTATTATTATTATTATAATAGTTGTTTCCCTCCTGTCACAGTATATTATTATTATTATTATTATTATTATAATAGTTGTTTCCCTCCTGTCACAGTATATTATTATTATTATTATTATAGTTGTTTCCCTCCTGTCACAGTATATTATTATTATTATTATTATTATTATTATAGTTGTTTCCCTCCTGTCACAGTATAATATTATTATAATAGTTGTTTCCCTCCTGTCACAGTATATTATTATTATTATTATTATTATAGTTGTTTCCCTCCTGTCACAGTATAATATTATTATTATTATTATAGTGGTTTCCCTCCTGTCACAGTATATTATTATTATTATTATTATTATTATAGTTGTTTCCCTCCTGTCACAGTATATTATTATTATTATTATTATTATTATAGTGGTTTCCCTCCTGTCACAGTATATTATTATTATTATTATTATTATTATAGTTGTTTCCCTCCTGTCACAGTATATATTATTATTATTATTATTATTATAATAGTTGTTTCCCTCCTGTCACAGTATATTATTATTATTATTATTATAGTTGTTTCCCTCCTGTCACAGTATATTATTATTATGTCACAGTATATTATTATTATTATTATTATTATAGTTGTTTCCCTCCTGTCACAGTATATTATTATTATTATAGTTGTTTCCCTCCTGTCACAGTATATTATTATTATTATTATTATTATTATTATAGTTGTTTCCCTCCTGTCACAGTATATTATTATTATTATTATTATAGTTGTTTCCCTCCTGTCACAGTATATTATTATTATTATTATTATAGTTGTTTCCCTCCAGTCACAGTATATTATTATTATTATTATTACAATATAGTTGTTTCCTCCTGTCACAGGTATAATATTGTTGCTATATTGCTGTTTCCTCCTGTCACAGTATATTATTATTATTATTATTATTATTATAATAGTTGTTTCCTGTCAAGCAGTATATATTATTATTATTATAGTTGTTTCCCTCCTGTCACAGTATATTATTATTATTATTATTATTATTATTATAGTTGTTTCCCTCCTGTCACAGTATAATATTATTATAATAGTTGTTTCCCTCCTGTCACAGTATATTATTATTATTATTATTATTATAGTTGTTTCCCTCCTGTCACAGTATAATATTATTATTATTATTATAGTGGTTTCCCTCCTGTCACAGTATATTATTATTATTATTATTATTATTATAGTTGTTTCCCTCCTGTCACAGTATATTATTATTATTATTATTATAGTTGTTTCCCTCCTGTCACAGTGTGTGTGTGTGTATGGCTGCCTCCTGTCACAGTATATTGTGTGTGTGTGGTTGTCCTCCTGTCACAGTATGTGTGTGTGTGTGTGTGTATGTAGTTGTTTCCTCCTGTCACAGTATGTGTGTGTGTGTGTGTATAGTTGAACATATGTCACAGTATAATATTATTATTATTATAGTTGTTTCCCTCCTGTCACAGTATATTATTATTATTATTATTATTATAGTTGTTTCCCTCCTGTCACAGTATATTATTATTATTATAGTTGTTTCCCTCCTGTCACAGTATATTATTATTATTATTATTATTATTATTATAGTTGTTTCCCTCCTGTCACAGTATATTATTATTATTATTATTATAGTTGTTTCCCTCCAGTCACAGTATATTATTATTATTATTATTATAGTTGTTTCCCTCCAGTCACAGTATATTATCCCCTTAAGGACTGGACTGTTTTTGCGATGTTGTACATTTGCGACCAGGAATATTTTTACACTTTTGTGGTGTTTGTGTTTGGCTGTAATTTTCCGCTTTCTCATTTACTGTTCCCATACAAATTATATATTGTTTTTTTCAGGACAAAGGGGGCTTTCTTTACATACCATTATTTATATAATCTCATGTATTTTAATTTTTAAAAAAATACAAAAATCTGATGAAAAATTGAAAAAAATACATGTTTTTTTACTTTTACTTGAAAAATCTTTTACTCATCTACAAAAGTGAATGAAAAAACTGCTAAATAGATTCAAAATTTTGTCCTGAGTTTAAAAATACCTAGTGTTTACGTGCTTTTTTGCTTTTTTTTGCATGTTATAGGGCTATAGGTACAAGTAGGATATTGCGGTTTCAAAACATACATTTTAAAATTTATCAATAGTGACATTGTAACACTATTATCTGTCATAAATCTCTGAATAACACCCCACATGTACATATTTTTTTTAAAGTAGACAACCCAGGGTATTCAATATGGGGTATGTCCAGTCTTTTTTAGTAGCCACTTAGCCGAAAACACTGGCCAAAGTAAGCATTCATATTTGTTTGTGTGTGAAAAAAGTAAAAAAACTAAATTGAACGCTAATTTTGGCCAGTGTTTGTGACCAAGTGTTACTAAAAAAGACTGGACATACCCCATTTGCAATACCTTGGGTTGTCTTCTTTTGCAAATGGTATGCCATCATGGGGTAATTCTCATTCCTGGGCTACCATACGCTCTCAAAGGCAACGTAACCAACCTGGCCATTTTCAATGTAAAAATGTTTGACCCATATATTTGACCTTGTAACGTTCAAAAATGCTATAAAACCTGTACATGGGGGGTACTGTTTTACTCAGGAGACTTTGCTGAACACAAATATTAGTGTTTAAAAACTGGGAAACGTATCACAACAATTATATCATCAGTAAAAGTGCTGTTTGTGTGTGAAAAATGCAAAAAAAGTAACTTTCACTGACAATATCATCGCTTTGATATGTTTTACTGTTGTGAATCACTAATATTTGTGTTCAGTGAAGTCTCCCGAGTAAAACAGTACCCCCCATGTACAGGTTTTAGGGTGTCGTAGAACGTTACAGGGTAAAATACAGTGCTAGCAAATTAAATTCTCTGGAATTTCGGCCTGGGTTGGCAGGCAGGTCCCTCAAATTGCAATCAATAAAATTACTGAATTATGTAAAAATATTACATAAATATGCACTTAGAATTTAAATATATATGCATATTTATATATTTGAAGTCTACGTGTATATTTATATAATTATTTATGTAATTTTGTATATGGACGTATGTATATTTCTTATTATTTTTATTTATTTTTATATACATAGATATATATACAAATTCATTCTAAGTGTATTTTGATATAAATATATATATATTAATTTTTAAATACAGTTAGAATAAAATTTCATATAGCTATATAATTTTTTTTAAATTTTTTATTATTATTTAAAAAAAATGTATTTAATTTAAATTACTTATTATTTATATTTTATAATAATATATATATACAATATATATATATAGTTATTATATATATTATATATATACGTGTGTAATTTAATTATAAGTGTATTTTTATATTAATATAAGTACATATTAATATAAAAATACACTTAGTATGGCATTATATATATGATATATAGACATATATTATATAGATACAATATATGTCTATATATCATATTTATACATATATAATTATTATTATTTTTTTTATTACCATTAACTTTAATTTTTTTTTTGATTTTACAGTTGCAGGGAGACTGCCTGTCAGTACAGGCAGTCCCCCTGCAGGCAGACACATGGACACCTATTGTGACCATGTGATCGCTGTGTTGAGCGATCACATGGCCACAGGGGTCCTAATTCAGTGTGGGGAGACTGTCTGGGCTGCAGGCAGTCTCCCCACAACCGGAGGAACACTGATCGCCGCCGGGGGAACGACGGCGATCAGGTAAGTACCCCCAGACCGTTTGGACGGTTCAGGACCGTCATCGGTCGGCAACGCAAAAATGCCGATGACGGTCCTGAACCGTCCTCGGTCCTTAAGGGGTTATTATTATTATTATTATTATTATAGTTGTTTCCCTCCTGTCACAGTATATTATTATTATTATTATTATTATAGTTGTTTCCCTCCTGTCACAGTATATTATTATTATTATAGTTGTTTCCCTCCTGTCACAGTATATTATTATTATTATTATTATTATTATTATAGTTGTTTCCCTCCTGTCACAGTATATTATTATTATTATTATTATTATTATTATTATTATAGTTGTTTCCCTCCTGTCACAGTATATTATTATTATTATTATTATTATTATTATTATAGTTGTTTCCCTCCTGTCACAGTATATTATTATTATTATTATTATAGTTGTTTCCCTCCTGTCACAGTATATTATTATTATTATTATTATAGTTGTTTCCCTCCAGTCACAGTATATTATTATTATTATTATTATTATAGTTGTTTCCCTCCTGTCACAGTATATTATTATTATTAT